ACGAGGGACCTAAGGCCCCTCCTAGCCCTCCTAGCTGTGTGTGTCTGCCATCTTGCAGGAGAGAGAACCTCTAGGGTCAGAGAGTGGCTGAGAAGCCTCAGAAGAGCTTTTGACAGTGCCTCAAAACCACCCCTGCCAGAATGTAAATTGGTATAGCCACTATGAAAAACAGTATGGAGGGTCCTCAAAAAACTAAAAACAGAGTTGCCATATGATCCAGCAATCCTACTCCTGGGCATATACCCAGACAAAAGTATAATTTGAAAAGCTACATGCACCCCTATGTTCATAGCAGCACTGTTTACAATAGCCAACACAGTAGCCTACACTGTTGGTAGGAATGTAAGTTGGTGCAGCCACTATGGAAAACAGTATGGAGGTTCCTCAAAAAACTAAAAACAGAGTTGCCATATGATCCAGCAATCCTACTCCTGGGCATATACCCAGACAAGACTATAATTCGAAAAGCTACATGCACCCCTATGTTCATAGCAGCACTATTTACAATAGCCAAGACATGGAAACAACCTAAATGTCCATTGACAGATGAATGGATAAAGAAGATGTGGTACATATATACAATGGAATATTACTCAGCCATAAAAAAGAATGAAGTGATGCCATTTGCAGCAACATGGGTAGACCTAGCGATTATCATACTAAGTGAAGTAAGTCAGAAAGAGAAAGACAAATACCATCACTCATATATGGAACCTAAAATACAATACAGATGAATATATCTACGAAACAGAAAGAGACTCACAGACATAGAAAACAGACTTGTGGTTGCCAAGGGGAGGGAAGTTGGGAGTTTGGGATTAGCAGATGCAAACTATTATATATAGGATGGATAAACAACAAGGTCCTACTGTATAGAACAGGGAACTATATTCAATATCCTGTGATAGGGACTTCCCTGGTGGTGCAGTGGTTAGGAATCCGCCTGCCAATGCAGGGGACACGGGTTCGAGCCCTGGTCCAGGAAGATCCCACATGCTATGGAGCGACTAAGCCCGTGCGCCACAAATACTGAGCCTGCGTGTGCTCTGGAGCCCGTGAGCCGCAACTACTGAGCCCATGTGCCACAATGACTGAAGCCCGCACACCTAGAGCCCATGCTCCGCAACGAGAAGCCACCGCAATGAGAAGCCTACGCACCGCAAAGAAGAGTAGCCACTGTTCGCCACAACTAGGGAAAGCCCGTGCGCAGCAACAAAGACCCAATGCAGCCAAAAATAAATAATAAATAAATAATTAAAAAAAAAAAAAAGAATCCGCGTGCCAATGCAGGGCACACGGGTTCGAACCCTGCTCCAGGAAGATTCCACATGCCGCAGAGCAACTAAGCCCATGCACCACAACTACTGAGCCTGCGCTCGAGCCCGTGAGCCACAACTACTGAAGCCAGTTCACCCAGAGCCCATGCTTCGCAACAAAAAGCCACCGTAATGAGAGGCCCGCTCACTGCAACGAAGAGTAGCCCCCGCTCGCTGCAACTACAGAAAGCCGGCGCGCAGCAACAAAGACCCAATACAGCCAAAAATAATTTATTTAAAAAAAAAAAGAAAACAAAACAAAACTCCTGTGATAAACCATAATGGAAAAGAACATGAAAAAGAATATATGTAACTGAATCACTTTGCTGTACAGAGGAAATTAAACACAACATAATCAACTATACTTCAATAAAATTATTTTTAAAAAAACTACCTTGCCTTCAGAGGAATGAAATCCAGCTGCTGCAGAATAAGCTAGAAATCAACAGCTGTCCTGTCTGCAGACACATGTAAATCAGATGCAAATAGACCCATGGCCCGGTAAGACTCTTGAAGGTGGTGAGAATGAACCCATGCCAGAAACAGCATGTTAGAAGGGATGGAACACTGGCCTTCAGTTTCCAGCTGGGAACCACCAGCTCTGTGCAGTTTTATGAGTTGTTCCTTGGTGGGAAAGCCCTCCATAGGGGGCCTTGTTTAGGCAGGCATAGTCACACAAGGCATTCCTGCACTGGTGGCAACAGGTCACAGCACAGGTAGCTGCTTAAGTGCAAGGCCATGGAGACCTCTGAGAGACTGAGTATACAAATGGACAATGGCCAAACCATATATAAAAATAGAACTCTGACCCACAATCTGAAGCAACCAGTTTAGAAAACCAGCCAATCTGTCTGCAAAAACTAAACAACAACCCCTGTAGCAATGGGCCTCAAACAGCCAGGACTTAATAACTGACAGCTTCCCTAATTCTGCATCTAGTTACAACTTAGGACCAACTGGAGCAAGCCAAATATGCCCCCCTAACCAATCATGTAGGATGTCTACTTCTAGTTAATCCACCCCATGCCAACAGCCTCCAATCAGAGCATACCTGAAGTCTTCCCCTTCTTCCACTATAAAATTTTACCCCTGCTCTACACACCAAAAGCAAGCAATGGTGGCCGACTCACTTGTTACATCAAACTCAGAGTAGATAGCATTTGCTTATTCTCATTTGAGTTATCTTCATGTGTTTCCACAACTCCTAATTATTGAATTGCTTTATGACTCAGTTTTCTTACTTGTAAAGGTAGGATACTAATTTGGGGCATGAATCTTTTGGGAGGAAACTGCCTTAGATAGTGGGGAAGCCTCCTGATAAGGCCCCCACTCCCTGGGTCACCTCTCATCTCAATTCAGCAGCCACGTAACCCACTCCCCCCTTGTTCTGTGCATATGTGTGTGCATCAACACGTCCAGTTCCTTCATTGTTCTCAAGGGAAGAACCCGAAGCCCAGGTGGGAAGAGTGCCTGCTTACCCAAAGCCCTCTCCTCTGGAGGTCTCTGAGAAACCAGTCTCGGTCTTCAGTTTCTCCCCTCTGACTTCCAGGCTCCAACAGCAAGCACGTGAGCCCGTTCAGGAACCCCACAGGTGTCAGCTTATACCTATGGTGAAACTGAAGCTGCCTAAAGAGGGCAAAAAGCCACCCAGTAGTGAGTTACCAGGAGCCACAGAAGCTTCCCAACTAGGGAAGGCCAGTCATGGCCTGTACACAGAGCTCTGCCCTCTGCAGGGAGTTTTTCCTCCTAGGTTTCAGGGTGCCCCACCCAGCCTCTCCGAGAGCCTGTTTTATTCCGGGAGGCCAGCTGGCTCCAGATGAATTCCTTCTTTCCTGAGGTTGGCTCCACCCGAGGCTAGCCCCACCTTCTCACCGCAAGACAAAAGCCAGAAAAACACAATAGTAATAGTTACCATTCTGTGTGGACTGTATTAATCCTCAGAACAACCCTCTGAAGTAGGTACCACAAATGGGGAAACTGAGTCACGGAGCAGTCAAATGATGTGCCCGAGGTCGCACGAGTACCAAGTAGGAGAGCAGCAATGAGGGCCCAGGTCTGGAGGTAAACTCTGCACCACCTTGCTGTACTGCCTCTGAATGTTTTCAGATGGACACAGATGCTCATAGAAGAATCTTTGGGGTGTTCCAAAGTTGGGAGCAAGATTCATTTACATTTCAGAGAAATGCTGGGTTCTCTCTCATTTATTACTTTTGGCTCCATAAACATTTGTTAACCCAAGAGAAATACCAGGAGGACAGAAATGAAGACCCTGTCCACCTCAGGTCTTGCACTTTTCTGGGAATGACCAGGCTGCCCTGCTAATCACCCCACCAATCACTTTCAGGGCCTCCCAAATGGGGAAACACATCTTACATTCAAAAGAGAGAAGAATGTACATTTCACTAGCCAGTACATGTGACACCAGAGAAGTGAGTTTGACATCCAGTTTCCTGGGACCCCACCCAGAACCTGCAAGGCCAGGCCCTCCAGGGCAGAGGTGCTGAATTTTTAACCCCACCCCAGGTGAATCTCATCTGTTGTCTGGGAAACGGTGAACCCAGACCCGGGACTCTCTGAAGTCCCTTCCTAGGGGTAGCCGTCGCCACTTGTGTTACCCGCTGACTAGCATGCCGGCCCCAGCCGACACTCCCTGAGCACCTCGCTGCTGTGCTGGGCGGGCAGAGAGCCTGCAGAGCTGCAGGCAGGCCCCTCTGGCCCTCAGATAGTCACCCCCCTCAGCTCCAGTACTGCCACTTCTATCAGAACCCAGACCCGAGGGCACAGGACCAGATGAGGCCACGCTGTTGGAGGTTTGTGTGTCTCCCTGAAAAGTCTCCAAGCTGCGGGGAGGAAAGAAGCCGGGTTTGCTCATTTTTATTGGTTAACTCCCTCCTGTCACCCCTCCCTCCTGCTGACACTTTGGAGACTTTCAGTAATTGTCAACTGAATGAATAAATTAATGACAGAGGGAGACAGACGTGTTAACAGCTAACAGTAATTCAGGCAGAATGGAGTAAGTACTAAATGGTGGTGGAATGAGTCATTATTGCTGACGGGGAAGGAAGAGGGGGAAAGGCATTCATCCTCTCTCCCCTGCACTGTCAAAACAGAGCCTTAACTCTTCCTCCCTTCCTGTCTCTCCCGCATTCAGAAGACAGCAGAACACGCATTGTGTACAATTTTAATAATTCCAAAGCAAACACCCGCATCGTCACCCACTCTCCAGCTCCCCAGGGTAATTATGAAATAGAACCTTGCCAGAACCCCAGGGGCCTCCTGTGTTCCCCACCATCACCCCCCGCACCGCCTCTTCCCCTCCTCCAACCTCTGTCCTGAATCTGGTGTGAACCAGTTTCTTGCTTTTCTTTATAGTTGAGCCACGAATGCATATACCACTGGACAACACATAGTCTAGAGTTACCTGGTTTTGAGTTTTCTACACCTGCACATTTTCTTCTGTGGCGTGCTCCTTTTGCGCAACATGATTTTTTGGAGTTTTGCCTGTGCTGTTGCTTGCGGTGGTAGTTCATTCCTCCTCACTGCTATGTAGTCCATTCTATTGTATAAACACCACCCCCACCAGGGGCTTCCCTGGTGGCGCAGTGGTTGAGAGTCCGCCTGCCGATGCAGGGGACACGGGTTTGTGCCCCGGTACGGGAAGATCCCACACGCCGTGGAGCGGCTGGGCCCTTGAGCCATGGCCGCTGAGCCTGCGCGTCCGGAGCCTGTGCTCTGCAACGGGAGAGGCCACACAGTGAGAGGCCCGCGTACTGGAAAAAAAAAAAAAAAAATGTAGAAACACCACCCCCATCCCCATTTACTTGGCTATTCTTGTGTTGATGGTCAGTAGGATTGTGTCCAGTCTTTGCTGTATGTACCTCCTACAGTACTATGGCATGCGTACGCAAATCTCTTTAATATATTTAAGAGGAATTGCTTGAGTCATGGGGGTATGCGATTTTTAACGTTACCAGGTGATACCTGTTTTCTGAAATGGTTGCACCTAAGTGTAGGCATTCCCATGTGGAGCTCATTCCACTCAGTGGGTCAGGGTAGCCTCTTTATTATGTTTTTATTTTTTTGCGGTACGCGGGCCTCTCACTGTTGTGGCCTCTCCCGTTGCGGAGCACAGGCTCCGTAGCCATGGCTCACGGGCCTAGTCCCTCCGCGGCATGTGGGATCTTCCCAGACCCGGGCACGAACCCGTGTCCCCTGCATCGGCAGGCGGACTCTCAACCACTGCGCCACCAGCGAAGCCCAGGGTAGTCTCTTTAAAACAGACCTGTAACACCAGTTGAACTTTCCTGGCTTCATCAGGCTGAGAGTTTGGGGAAGGCTGAAGGCAAAAAATGGTTCAGAGGCCACTGAAGGGAATAAACCCAAGGTTTATTGGCTACTATGACACTTACGATTATGCTTTGCTGTGAGTGACAGAAACCCCAAAATAACAGTGGGTTAAACAGGATAGACGTGCATTCCTCTCCCACGTAAATGAAGACCCCTAGTCAACTAACCAGGCTGGTGTAGTGCTCCACGGTATACGTTCCTTCCATTGTCTCACTCTCCTCTGCACAGGGCTTGAGCTGCTTAAACTCCCAGACGGCTGCTTGAGTTCCAGCCATTACATCTAGATTCTAGCCAACAAAAAGGAGGAAAGAAAAGGAAAGTTTCACCCCTTTTCTTTGAATACACTTTCAGAAATTCACACAAGCCACTTCCTCTTATTTCCCAATGGCCAGACTTAATCTCATGGACACAATTAACTGCAAGTGATACTAGGAAATATATAGTCTTTATTCTTGGTGCCCATATGCCCAGCTGAAACTGTGGGTTCCATCATTAAGGACGAAGAGAGAATGGATTTGTAGGACAATGAACAATCTCTGCCATAGACTGGCCTTGCTCAGAAGAGCACTTCTAAGCAGATCTGCCTAATTCCCTCACCACACAAACATACACACACGGACATAACCACCAACACAAAATATTGGAGAGTAAAATACATATTTAACAAGGCCACTTTCTTAAACACTGCAAGTTATACTATCTGTTCACTTATCTGTAATGCCCACATGGTTAGTTTCAAAGTACTTTTTTTCTCTAGTTATAATTTTGCCATTCTCCTCTCTGGGTCCTCTCCTCCTGATTTTTTAAGGCTAGAGCTTTTCTCCCAGACGTCTCCTAATTAACTGGTACTTAAAGCCCCTTGACACGTAAACAGTGCATTGAAACCCAGATGGGATGGCCTAGAAGCCCACACCTCCAGCCTAGGTAAATAAGGTAAATATGTAAACTTAACCGCAAGCAAATCCATTTTTAACATCCCAGAAAGTCTCTGCCTCGAAAGCCTTCCAAGGCTTCTAATGGATAGAAAAATATGACCAAACTTTTGGCTCGTCCCAAATAATCGTCAGATTATTTGGCTCTTCATAATCTGACCCGGACCTACCTTTTTAGCGTTAACTTACAACCATTGTCCAACATGGCCAAAATATAATAATGGCAATAATGATGATAAGAACAATAAAAACAGTGATACTAGAGGTTACCATTAAATGAGTGTACATTATGTGCCAGTTACCATTAGTCTATTGACATACATTCTCTCATTTAATCCTCACTGCACCCTTACAGTGTTGGTATTTTTGCCTTTTTACACATGAGGAAACTGAGGCTCAAAGGGAATTTCCCCGAAGTCCTGAAACTGATGTGATAACCAGAATTCTCTGGTCTGGTCAAACCCAGTATTTGAGAATGCAGCTCAAATGTCCTTTCCTCCGTAACCCACCCCTCCCCACCCCAAGCAAAATGAGATGCTGCTTCCTGTGTGCTTCCCTATAATACGTTCATTCCTGTTTACAGCACTTTCTACCAAGTATTCAACCATTGTCTCTGGGCGCCTGTTACGTGCCAGGTGTTATGTTGTGTGCCTGTGCTCCTGTCCCTCTACCCAGCTAGATCTGAGTATGTTAGTGGAGGAATTGTGTCTCTTTTCTAAAATAAAAAATTAAAATTATTATCATTTTCATTGTGCTTAAAACGTTCATAACAAAAATTATCATCTTAATCATTATTGAGTATACAGTTCCGTAGTGTTAAGTATATTCACATTGGTGTGCTATCAATCTCCAGAACTCTTTTCATCTTGCAAAACTGAAACTGCACCCATTAAGGAACAGCTTCCCAATCCCCTCTTCCCTCAGCCCCTGGCAACCACCATTCTACATTCTGTCTCTGTGAATTTGACTACTCCAGGTACACTACATCATGTAAGTGGAATCATACCATATTTGTCCCTTTGTAATTGGCTTATTTCACTCAGTGTAATGTCCTCATGGTTCATCCATGGTGTAGCATGTGACAGGATTGCCTTCTTTATACAGCTGGATAATATTCTGCTGTATGTATTTACCACTTTTGTTTATCCAGTCATCTGTTGATGGACACTTGGGTTGTTTCCACCTCTTGGTTATTGTGAATAATGTTGCTTTGAACATGGGGGTACAAATATCTCTTTGAGAACCTGCTTTCAATTCTTTTGGGCATATACCCAGAAGCAGAATTGCTGGATCATAGGGTAATTCTCTGTGTAATATTTTGAGGAACGCTGATACTGTTTTCCACAGTGGCTGCATCATTTTCCATCCCCACCAACAGTGAACGAGGGTTCCCACATTTCCACATCCTTGCCAACACGTGCTATTTTCTGGGTTTTTCTTTTTATAATTTTTAATTGAAGTAGAATGACTCTTGAACAACACAGGGTTAATCCTTGTGTAATTTATAGTCAGCCCTCCATACCCCAGGTTCCTCTGCATCCTCGGATTCAACCAACCATGGACCGTGTAGTAACTGTAGTATTTAACATTGAAAATTTTTGCATATAAGTGGTCCCGCACGGTTCAAACCCACGTTGTTCAAGGGTCAATTGACATTTCTTTTAAACGGGAGCCATTCTAATAGGTGTGAGGTGGTTTATTTTTTAAATTCTTGCTAAATGAGCACAGATTCTGGCATATCAGAGTGTTTGTGGAGTGAATGAATGAGTGACTTCACCACAAACTAATGGGGTCGTCTTGGCTACCAGGGTTTGTTTGATGGAGAAACAGTCTCTAGTATACCAGTGTCTCGACGAAGGTCAGGAACCTGAATTTGAATTGACTTCAAGACACGTGCACTCTCTACAGAACACTCCCTGGGGCTCTCCTCTGAGCCCCAAGGAGATGGTTCCTGCCTACCAAGCCCCAAAGGCCCACCCTTGGTCCCCTTGGTGGGCAGCTCCTTGAGGGTGGGGGAGGTGCAGCCCCTCCGTAGGGTCACCTCTCCAACCTGGCTCCACTCTGCATAAAGCAAACAAGTCCAGGAGAAAGAAACTCGCGGGCATGCAGCATGCAAAATCCAAGGACCCCCAAGCCCATCCCCACCCCACCCCCTCCCCTGCTCTGGGGGTGGAGGAAGGGAACAGGAGCCCAGCCAACTTTCCCCTCCCACCCTCAGTGCTCAGTGGGGCAGGGAGAGTCACATTTCAGCAACACTCCCAGGCCGACTTGAAGGCTGAAGCAAGCGGCCACACTGCCTTGTGAGAGCTCTCCGGATGCCTGCAGGCTTATGCTGGACTGAGTCACTTCCTCACCTTAATTCTCCCCTAATACCTTCCCTTTCTCTGCAGGTTCACTTCTGGCACCACTGTCTGGGTGAGGAATGTCTGGGGAAGCTGCACAGGTGGGTCAGCTGAGCTGTCTGCCTAGATACTGCAAACATGACCATGACTGGGGACAGAGGATGTGGGGGGCGGGAGTGGGGCGCAAAAGCAAAGCCAGGTTTGTCTGCTGGCTCTGAGGAGCACCCTAATCCCTTCAGCCAGTTTGATCTCTGCAAGTCTGAGCACAAAGTTCTCACCTCCAGGCAGGATTCCTGAGGGGCCTGAGCAGGGGCTGGTGGAGGAAGGAGGAGAGGATGAAGAGGAGCAGAGGAAAGGGTGGGGACATGGCTGCTTTGCGTTCCAGGGACCTCCATCCCGTGCTACCTGCCCTGGAGAACATGGCTGCCTCCTGGAAGGTCAAGTTCAAAGGTCATCTTCTGTGTGCCAGTTCGCTGGATGAGTCTGCAGAGGTCACAATATTAGCCAGAGCCTGCTTGTTTCTGGAAGTACTGCTGTTCCTTTTACCTGTATGTACTCTTTCCTTCCCTGTCTACAGCTAAAGTTTTCTTTTAGGATCCCGGATTCTTCGTCTGTATCTCTTTACCATTGCTTCCTGTGTCTGCCTGCCTCAGCTTGTACATCCTAAGATAGAAATCAGGGCACAGTTTTAATTTTTATTAAAGTTATTCATTCACATAGCTCAAAGAGTCAAATAGTGGTGCAAAATTTATGAAAAACTCTCCCTCATCAGAGCTCTCCCCTTTCAATTTTATTTCATTTTTTTTTTCGCGGTACGCGGGCCTCTCACTGTTGTGGCCTCTCCCGTTGTGGAGCACAGCCTCCGGACGCGCAGGCTCAGCGGCCATGGCTCAAGGGCCCAGCCGCTCCGCGGCATGTGGGATCTTCCCGGACCGGGGCACGAACCCGTGTCCCCTGCATCGGCAGGCGGACTCTCAACCACTGCGCCACCAGGGAAGCCCTCCCCCTTCAATTTTTATGGCTCATTCTTTGGGCATCTGCCATAATTTCCTAGATAATATTGTTTTATTACTACTTCACGATTTTTCAGTTTCAGGGACTATTTATTATCGTCTTCCCCACTCCAACAACCCACTCACCCTCCTGGCCCTCATCCTCCCAATATAACGATATAATAATTTGGTTAGAGCAGCAGTCAGTGTTTACATTATTACCTCCAGGTAAACACTATTCCCATGTGTTTACACTATAAGCTACGGGATGTACTATGATTTCTTCTTTTCATGCATAGGTTTTTATTTTCCCTGGAGTTAATAACCATGCCCCCTCACCCCAACTCACTTAGTATTCTTTGTACTCAGTGCCAAACTCTTCCAGTTGTTGAAATCTCCCCTCAATACCTTTAGATGATGTTCTTCCAATTTCATTTTCTTGAAGCAATCTCTCCTGGAGCTTCCTGACCTAGTTGGATTTAGGCTGGGTGCCCTCTAGGCCTGTTGTATTGTTTTTAATCTGGCAATCTCCCTTCGCCAACATCCTGGGGGATCCTCTACACCGCTCTCCTGAGTCAGATTCCTCTTTCCTGTTTTCAGCCTTTTGTTTGGTTTACAAACTTATTTTGGTGAAACACATCCTCCAGTAGCCTCTAAAGTACATGAAAAAACTTTTTTTGATCAAAGATCATTTAAGTGACATAAACTTTTTTTTTTTTTAACTTTCAAACTTGATTGATAGTTTGGTTGGATATAAAATTTTAAGTTGTGGGTAATTTTCTTTCTTTTTTTTTTTTCTTTTGGCCTTGCCACTCAGCACGTGGGATCCTAGTTCCCCGACCAGGGATCAAACCTGGGCTCCCTGCAGTAGAAGCGCAGAGTTTCAACCAATGGATCGCCAGGGAAGTCCCAAGTTGTGGGTAATATTCCTGCAGAATTTTGAAAGCATTGCTTAAGTGTGTTACTTCCACTGCTTCTGTTGAGACATTCAAGCCACTTTAATTCCTGACCTAATCCCTCT